CCCTTCATGCACAGGCCCTCTTTTCTGGATGGAATTTCTAGAAGAAAGGACCGAGGACTCCATTGCCCAGATCATCGAAACAATCTCGGGCTCTCAGCCCAGCCAGGCCGAACCGAGTTGAACTGATGCATGGGCTTCGACTGGTGTTGATGCTGATTTGTTGTTGCTGTTGTCTTGATTGCAAATCGGTTCTTGGGAGTGATAATGTGTTTTGCTCAGATCGTTGATGGTTCAAGGCTCCTCTCTGCAAAGCTTAGTTGGGAACTTTGCCTCTTCTGCTTGGACGACGATTTACACAAGAAAGGGAAGGAGGACGCATGCATTCACGTCCAATGTAGAAGGCAAAGAAAGCCAAGAAGCTGTATCCTTGAACTGCGGACATGTCGCCACATGCACCTACCATGTCAATTTCAGAGGCAACCTCATTTCTAGGAGCACGAAGCATTTCTTGACTTCTCACGAGTTGGTTGTTGGAGTTGTTGTTGTTTTTACCAAGGGTAGTAGCAGTAGTAGCAGTACTACTACTGCTGCTATCTACCATGCCTATTACTTGGTGGATTGCGATTATTACTACCTACACTGCTGCGGATGCTACACATGCTATTTCCTTTTCTAACACTTATTCAATTCTGTTTTCTCCCGGCCGACTACTACTTGCCGCCATGCCTGAGATCATAATCTTTCTCGATGCATTAGCTGGGTCTGTAGGTGATCAAGGGGGACAAGATCATTGCCGTCACTTTTCCTCCAGAGGAGGAGGCAGGGCGCCTTCTGGGGTAGGCTTGCATAGCACATTCGTTGACCTTGCGATTTCATTTGCGGTGGTGCCACCTGCAAAACGGAAGGGTTTGCGATCTCAATCAGCTCTTGAAGACGGCGCTGTCTTGCTCAAGCTGTTTACGATTGGTGTGGCTGAAATCAGGCTTTGCCGTTTTAGGGTTTTTACAGAATATCGCAGGGGTTCGAGAAAATACGCCATTGAGGAAGAGTCGAACTATTGGATCTAGGCTCGGGCTAGGGCAGACTTCACAAAATTACCTGCAAAAGTAAAAGCAATTGTTACCCTTAGTACCACCCACCTAAAGTCGCATCATTGCATTGCAGTGGTTTTGTGCTTATGCCGCCTGGTAATGACGATGAGCAGTACCGTTCAATGCCCAAATTGGTAGTAGCTGCCTTCTGGGCTGCAAGCTTCAATCTTTTGGACGAATATTGCCGGGATCGAAACGGTTCCCCTCACCCAACCAAGTAAGCTATGTGCTTGTTTTCTGCACCCTGAAAAACTCACTACCACAGAAAATGTAGAGAAAGGGAGCCCAGACGGCCCAGAGGGTCAGCCTAGCTGTGGCACGACCCCCTACGTGTGCTCAGGAAGAGGCGAGCACTCCTTGGGCCTCTTGGACGCATTCGACACTACACACCACATCTCATCACAAACTGTACGTGAGGTGATACATAGGTGACATAGGTAGCCCGACCAGGTTCGGGCGTCAGAGCCGTGATAGCCGTTTCTGCAGGTCTCCCGCCGGCACGACATGATGACCATGGGCAGGGAACTCGGAAGAAATCGGATCCAGCTGGTTTTCCCCAGAAAGAGAGAGAGAGAGAGAGAAACCATATCTTTTTCAGAGCTTTGACTGTTGTTGCCCCTTAAAGCCTCTAANNGGGGCGCGCCTTTCGGCGCGGGGGGCCTAGCACGCCTCCTGAACCCCGAAGTGAAGTGAAGTGAAGAGAGAGAGAGAGAGAGAGAGAGAGAGAGAGCGAGAGCGAGAGCGAGAGCGAGCGAGCGAGCATGGTCCGGGGGGAACAACCAACGGACCAACGCAACAGTTTCACGTCCTTCCAAAGCCCTAGAAACGGGGGGTGGCTGGTGCCCGCGGGGCCTGACACGCCTCTCAGCACGAAGAAGAGATTGTGCAGTACACCATAGTTTTGATTCTGTTCCTCCCTGAAACATGTTACGAGTGTCGCTGGTTCTCATCTCACTCCTGTACACATACAAGACCTACGGCCCCGAACGCTCAATGTCCTAAACCCGAAGACGGCCCCTAAAGATCCGAAACCCCTGAACCACGAAAGCGCACTCCCTCAACTCCTGAATCCAAATTTGCTACACTCCCATGGATCCCTCCACATGGAACCCCAAACCCCTAACCGTCCAAAAGAAACCCCAACCACACATCTTGAGAACGCCGGAATTCTGAAGCCTTGAGAACTCGACAGCTCTAAATCCATCAGCATCGTAAACCTCTACGTCGTTAAGAACTCTAAAGTTCTAAATCTCGAAAACCCTAGGTAAATCCTAACTGCCTCCAGTTTCTGAGTTGTCGACTTACCGTGACGCCTTGCCTGCCTTGTTGTGCGAGCGTGAGCACCGAAACCGAAAAATTCTGAGCCCTACATCTTATAAAACCCTGTCTGTAGTACTCAATACAACCTTCTACAGCCCTATGAGATCCCATGAACCCCTCCAAAACCGATAAATCACCATAACTTGACCATAAGTCATCAGAGCTTGGAAACCATTAAATCCCTAAACCTTAAACCCTAAACCCTAAACCCTAAACCCTCTTGTGCGAGTGTGTGAGTCGAAACCTTAAACCCTAAACCTTTACACCCTAAACCTTAAACCCTAAACCTTAAACCCTAAACCCTAAACCCTAAACCTTAAACCTTTAAACGTTAAAATTCCTTTAGCATCCGCCTTTGCCTTCAGGTCTCGGTCCGGCCGAAGAGCCCCGGATGTCAGACCGGCGAGTTGCCTCAGGTCGTTTAGGTTTTAGGGTTTAGGGTTTAGGGTTTAGGGTTTAGGTTGCGGCGAGGGCTGAAGAAAAGGGCCCTTAATCACTAGAAGAGGGTTTGGGGGCATATTATCCTATAACTGTAATAAGGAACCCCCAAAACGCTATTCTAATTGTTAAGGCTCCTACATTTTGGTTCAGGAGCAGTTTCTTTCTCCAGAGACTTCATAGGATGAAGTTTTGCGGCGAACGAGCTTCTGGCAACCAGAAGCTGAGCTGTCAAGCTCGGCAAAGAAGAGGGCAGGTTCACTTCATGCCGGTTTAGTTTGAAATAGTCGAGTACAACCCACACCATAGTGCAATCAGCTATCCAAAGCCCTGGGTAAGTGTGGGCAGCCCTTTGCCGGTTCATCTCAGCTTGCTACGGTTGGTGATGCAAATCCTGCATTACAAGTGCCCTTGGAAAGCTAACAACAAATCAATTAAGTGCACCAAGAAAGATATGCCGAAACCGCTCACCCCTAGACCCTATACGGTATGCTGAGAGGAGTCCTTTGAGCCTTTTGTGCCGCGGCCAGCTTCAGTGGAGATTGTCTTGGACTGTCGATGTAACATTTGTATTCACATATACTTTGATCTCTCTATATGTAAAGAGGCGTTTGTGTATGCAAGCATGTATGCGTCTGTCTGCCTATGCTCAGACAATCTGCGTATGTATATATATATATATATGTATAAACAGATGTGTGTGTGTGTGCGCCGTGTATATACCGACAATTAAATACAGAAACAAGCAAATGAACAAACAAACAAATAACATAAATATGTGTACATACATACATACATACATACATATATATATATATACATACATACATACCCGTATCTACAAAACAAGTCCCAGCAAAACAAACGAGTATCCCTAAAACAAAAGCCATACATCGCAACAACTGGAAGTCACCAATGTCCTTTGATAATATCCTCAGCCCCGACATTACCTGCGAGAGGAGGAGCTCTGGATGGCTAACTTGGAGAGCGAGCGCTTTTTCTAGTAATTTGGGTTTAGGGTTTAGGTAGTAACTCTAGGCTCTGTACAAATATAAAACTTCGAACTTGCTCTCTCCGACCATGCCGGTGCGTTTCCGTGCGGAGCCCTTGGTGGCCGGCGTCGCCCGATTCGTGGCAGAGCCTGCCGATGACAAAGGCGCCATGGCTGATCTACTAGTACGAATCAAAGCAGAAGCCTCCTCTGGAACAAGCACGTAATCTAGGGGCCTTACTAGTTAGAACAGGGTTTTGGGGCCCATTATACTATCAATATAACAAGGAAACCCCAAAATAGTATAGGTAATTTTTTTTCGGCCCCTACATCAGCGAAGGTGCATGTACTCAGTGTGATTTCGTTCTGCTGGTGAATTGATGTCAGGCCTAGCTTGTAAAGCTCGGGTGAGGCTGTGCTTTGCCAGAAGAGGGAGTTTCAGAAAATTAGGGGTACCTTATTTTGGGGTCCTTATAATAGGGATCCTATTATTTGGGGTGCTATATTAGGGTCCCCTATTTTCAGAAACCCCCAAGAGGCAAAGACGTAGAAGACCCCTGAAACACGCCTTGGCGTGCATTTGGATGTTCCTTGAACCTTCTGTTGTCGAGGCAGTACATCCCAGCCTGCGTCGCTGGGCAGGAAAAGCTCAAAGCCAGGCGGAGGATGTCTAGGACACCTGCAACTTAACAAGCGGCTTCATACGTAAAGTCATACAGTGGACGCTCTAAACCAGCATGGAGTCAATGGTTAGACTGCACCGCCCAGCTCAGCTCCAGTCAGACACTAAACCTGCAAACCACTGGAGGTAATAATCCTTAAACCAAATCCCCCTATCGTAAGCTGTATCCTAAAACCCTAAGCCCGAAAACCCGAAACCCGAACCAACCTCGCCTGCATCGTCCGAGTTGCGAGAGTCCAAATAGTATCCAACCCTGAACCCAAAACCCCTTAACTATTAACATGCTCGTTGGTTGGATGTTGCTGATCACGAGCACTTGCACGCAGACCGCTTCAGCATGACAAGATGGAAGCGCGGTGTTGCGCTGCACATCGTCACGGTTCAGATTTTGCATGTTTTTTGGCCCAGGTCCTGCTGCTTACAAGACTCAGGCAATTTCAGAAAGGACAGGAAACTACACGACCCTAAACCCTCAGTCCTGAACCAAATATAGTCGAGGCTGATCTGGTCCTTCGGGATCCCAGCACTGCTGGGCAGCATGGCCTGCTGGAGGCCGGAGCAAAAAGAGTGTTCGGCGACCTGGCGCCAACTGTTAACTCTTGACTGTTGCCGAAGTGTGAGTCACCTCTAAGGCCCGAGCAATGTCGAGATAAGCCTGGTTCACCTCACCGTCTCCCGTCTCTTTTGCAAGCTGCAGGACGGCCGCAGCAGCCACTGCCCTCCTTCTGGTCTTGCGAGCGACGCGAGCGCGACAAGTCGTGGAGGAGGCGATGCTGTGGGTTGAGGGCCGGCATGCCAAACCTTTAGGATTTGGCTCCTCTTTGATCCGTGGGTTCTGCGCCCGAGGTGGCCGTGGGCATCGAAGGCCTTGGATTGCAGCTGAGCACGCGACGTTCAGGCTGGGTGCGAGGTCGGTGAAGGCAATTGAGCCCTATCTACCTTGACTGAGAGCTCTCCATGTCTCCTGCATGGAAGAACAAATATCTCAGGTGGTTCCATCGCATCGGACTTCATCAGTGCATCGTCCATCCAGGACCGTTTTCATTGCTGTGCCTTTGGAGTGTAGAGAAGCTCAGTTATCACCAGTACCTCTTTTCTCCTCCATGTATTCATGATTTCAACAAATCTTGTTGGTTCTCGCTTCTACTGTGGATATCAATGATGCCGCCCTTGCTAGAAATTGTTGCAATAAACGATAATCGACGGCAACAGTTCTAATCATCGTTATCTTCATCAGCAGCAGAAGCCTCATGGTCGTGAGTTCATGACTGGGGCATGCAGCTGATGCACATGCTCAATAAGAGTGCGCGGAAGCCCACGGCCTCTCATAATTGATGCCGATCGCTTTCGACACCGCGTGCAGCCGGTTCATGATATGTGGCTGCAGCAGGACATCATCATTGCAGAAGCAGTGACATTCTGGGATGTGCCTCTCGGTGCTTCAGACTGCAGGGTGCACCACAGGAAGGAGCAGTGCTAGCCAACAGCCTGAATCCCGTACACCTATCCGAGGGTAGCCCAGATTCTTTCGACTAGCGAAGCTTAGATTCTACTACCTCGTGGTGGAGATCAAGGGCAGCGAAAGGACAAAGGTTCCTTTCCAACACCTCCGACCCTTGGGCCGCAGCTTCTAAACTCCTGGGTGCATGTACGGGCCTGTGCGACGCACTGTTAATGTTTCAGCTGCGAGTTTGCAGTGTTAGCATCATGACTCAGCACTCGCGCCTTTTGCCTGTAAGGTCTTATCTTTCAGATGCATGTCGTACAAACTCTACATTGCCAAGTACCAGCACACTTGTCGGCCCCCGGAAAGCTGGTAAATGGGGTTTCCTAGAGTTGAGGCTCTCTTTCCGGGGTCACTCCGGGCGCAATCGTAATAGGGCGTTGTGTAGTTAGTAAATCAGTGTGACCAGTTCTTATCAGTTTAGGTGTGGCTCCTGAGCTGTTTGGAAGCATTGTCGCGTGCAGGGCGAGTGACTGGTGGCTGGACGGCCCAACGCAGAGTTAGGAGCAAAGGCGTTGGAAGTCCGTTTCGAGCTTTAGCCTCAAAGATGGGGTGCGGAGGAACTCTCTAGGTGGTTGCCCCCTAAACCCTAAACTCCTAAACCCTAAACCCTTAAACCCCTAAACCCTAAACCCTAAACCAAGTGCTCCAAGATGCCAAGGACCCGGAATCGAGGACCAAGCGCAGGTTGGCCAAGTGATGGAGTGGACTTCGACAGCTTTGGGGCCCGACGTCGGCTTGGGGTTGCAGCTGCGCCAAAGCAGCTTTTTACAAGGGTGCCGTACTATATTGGGGACCTAAAAAGGGACACTAATTTTTAGAAGTACCAATGAACTGCAGGGATCTCTTCCGAGGGTAGTCAGTGCTACACGCAGAAGGCGGTGCTTGGTTGCGGCAGGTCTTGCGCACCTTGCGGCGGCTTCTGCTGAGAGACCCGGATCTAGCAGACGCTTAGGAGCCGGAGCTGAAGGTACTGTTGCACTGTCCCTCACTATCTGGATGTGGGTTTAGGGTTTCGGGTTAAGGGTTTAGGGTTTAGGGTTAAGGGTGACTTGGCAGGACGTCGTCGGTCATGGGTATCTTGCAGCCTCAGTGACCGTTACATTGCAACCTACACCTTCCACGTTGCAGAAAAGACCGTCCATGGCGGGCCAAAAATGCTTGTCCGCCCATGCCATCCGCGAATGCAAAGTTGAAAAAATAAGTTTTAGAAGAAAGCAGCTTGAAGTACTTCCGGTGAGAGTCTGAGAGGGTGGCGGAGGAGTTGCTAAACCTTCCGCGGGATTCTGGGACAGCTCCACGCCCGACTATAGACTATAGTCGTGATGCTATCCACATCGTCTCTTCTAAGTTGGGTGTTGGTATATAGCCTGGCCCAGCTGATGCTCCTAGTGAATTGCTGTCTTCGCAGAGCTTCGCGCCTCTGATCCTCATGATGCTGGGCAGATCTTCTCGCTTACATTCTGTTCTCAAAGCCTGCCCAGCTGATGCTCATGATGCTGGGCAGGTCTTCTCGCTTAAACTCTGCCTTCTCAGAGCCTGCTCAGCTGATGCCCATGACGCTGGGCAGGCCTTCTCGATTGAATTCTGTTTTTTCAGCGCCTGCGAGCTGATGGGCAGGTCTTCTCCATTGAATAATTAGGCTGCCCATCTGATGCTAATGATGCTGGGCAGGCCTTCTCCATTGAAATCTGCCTTCTCAGCGCCTGCCCAGCTGATGCCCATGATGCTGGGCAGGTCGTTTCGATGGAATTGTGCCTTCTCAGAGTCTACCCGGCTGATGCTCGTGATGCTGGGCAGGTCTTCTCGCTTAAATTCTGCCTTCTCAAAGCCTGCCCAGCTGATGCTCATGATGCTGGGCAGGCCTTCTCGATTGAATTCTGCCTTCTCAGAGTCTGCCCAACTGATGCTCATGATGCTGGGCAGGCCTTCCCGATTGAATTTTGCCTTCTCAGAGTCTGCCCAGCTGATGCTCATGATGCTGGGCAGGTGTTCTCGCTTAAATTCTGCCTTCTCAAAGCCTGCCCAGCTGATGCTCATGATGCTGGGCAGGCCTTCTCGATTGAATTCTGCCTTCTCAAAGCCTGCCCAGCTGATGCTCATGATGCTGGGCAGGCCTTCTCGATTGAATTCTGCCTTCTCAGCCTTCTCAAAGCCTGCCCAGCTGATGCTCATGATGCTGGCCAGGACTTCTCGCTTAAGTTCTGCCTTCTCAGAGCCTGCTGATGCTGGGCAGGTCTTCTCGATTGAATTCTGCCTTCTCAGAGTCTACGCGGCTGATGCTCGTGATGCTGGGCAGGTCTTCTTGCTTAAATTCTGCCTTCTCAAAGCCTGCCCAGCTGATGCTCATGATACTGGGCAGCCCTTCTCGATTGAATTCTGCCTTCTCAGAGTCTGCCCAGCTGATGCCCGTGATGCCGGGCAGATCTCAAAGCCTGCCCAGTTGATGCTCGTGTTTTGCGTTCGCGTAGTTTGCCCCGCTGACGCTCATAATAAAGGGCAGGTTTTTTTTTCGATTGAATTCTGCCTTTTCAGGGCCTGCCCAGTTTGCGCTCGTGGTGCTGGGCAGGACTCGTTTGAATGCTTCGGAGCCTGGCCCGGCTGATGTTTTTGATGCTGCTCTTGAGCATGTTACCTGTGGTCGTTGGGTGTTTGGTTGGTGTGTGGCATTTGCAGCTTTTTGAGTTAGTGTTGTCACAGGCAGTGAAGCGTGTAGGTGTGCCACTAGGTTGAGGCAGAGCCGATTCTGTCTTTTCCCAAGAGAAGAATTAGAAGCTTTGTATCTCGAGATTCGTCGTCTGAAGTGGTCAAAATCCACTTGTCACTGCCAGGAATGGCTTGAGCCTGGCACCCCGCATGCGCTGCTGCCATGTGATTGTGTGGGTTGAGGTTGGCACGGCGGCTTGAAATTTCGAAGGTTCGCCGTCACGATGGGCATCTGGTTTCAGGATTGCTTCCTAGCGTGTCGTCTCAGCACAGGAGCGAGACAAAGCTTCCCGAACTCTCTTGAAGACTTCATCGCCTCATGTCGGTGCATTCGACTCAAGCGCCACGGCACCTGGCTTCGCAGTCGGTCGGCCGGATGGGATTTCAGGCATGAACACCTGAGCAGCGGTTAGAGATTAGCAATCGCCTCGACTTCTCACCACCTAACTTAGCAATGGAAGCACGCGCATCGTTGTCGACCTGAAACTCAAGATGACAGATCCTAGATTTCTGCAGATCAAGCTCGAGGCAAATCTTCTCAGCTCGGAGTGAATCTTGCGTGTCACCCGTCGACCATACCTTCATGGCCCGGAGCATCCATGAATATGCCGTAGCTAGGAGCGAGTGGAGACCATGACGCTGAATCTAGGCCCAGTCGCCAGGTGCCATATGGCTGCTGGTGGACCACGCAGGCTGTGGCATGTTCCGGATCTGCTAAAGGATGGGTTGGGCCATGGCAGAGCCACGAACAGTCTTGCAGGTCTTTGTACCTATGTTCTACATCCATGGTGGAATCTTCCTGGGCAGGTTCAACGTCGGTGAGCAAGAATTTGCTCGAGCTGTGCGGATGCTCAGTTCAACGCAAGTGTTCACGTTTGAGCTTTTGTGCCCGGTAAGGATTATGACGACTCGAAGTTTGCTGAGCTGCAGAACTTGTCAGTTGTGAGGTTCCTGATTGTTAGCTTTGAAGGATTAAAGATGATGAGAGTCGACAAAACTCAAGTCATGCGCAATGTGTTGACTGGTGTTGCTGCGATGATGGCGCTGGCAGGAATGTGTGCATAATTCCATGAGCAACTTATCCAAGCGTGACCGTAATACAGTACACGGCCGAAAAGAGTGCAGCTGACCTTGCAAACGGATTTGGTCCTGACCATGACTGCAAAGGGATGCATAAGCAGAAATTAAAATGAGATTGGCGCTCTTTTCCAGCCAGAGCGAGTCTAGGCTAGGCAAAATACTCGCAGCTTGGTCAAGGTGCGGAGCCCAGCCCAAAACCTAAACCCTAAGTATGGACCTCCAAGCTCAGATTTCGCCGTACGAAGTCGAGTTCACCATCATGCACGAGGCACGTGGCAACCGTCACATTATGTCAGATCCTGAGTCGCTTCTGGCGAGAGACGATAGCCATGAGCAGCAGCTAATATAGGAACCTGGCTAAGAAACCTTGAGTGTTTATTAGGGTTCTGTTCGTGAATCCTGAAGTTTTGGGGTTACAGGGGCCAGGGTTTCTTCACCAGGTTCCTACACTAAGGTCTCTCTGACCTTCAGAAGGGGCCACGGGCACCCTGCATGTTCGCGGGTTTTCGGGGTCTCATGACGCAGGAGAGGCCGGCGAGGTCGGACAGCCCCTTCACCTGAGATCATCCGTGGTCCAAATTCCTGCATACCTATAGTCTCCATTGTAGTTCCTTTTGGGGGATACCTTATAAACTCGTGAATATATATATATATATATATATGTATATATATATATATATATGTTTGGTTAAACCAAAAAAAGGAACTACAATGGAGACTATAGGTACTACTTACCTGGCTCCATGTTTTCTACAACTACAACCACGCAGAAGTCCCGGGCACCCTCTAGGGTTTAGGGTTTAGGGTTTAGGGGAATCTGGCACTTCGAACAGCTGAGGCCTGGGCTTTTTGGGGAGCAGTCGTCTCTGGGCTTCGCCTGCCACGTAACGCCGGAGCCTTGGAGCGATTGCCAATGGGTTTAGGGTTTAGGGTTTAGGGTATGGGATGCAGGATGCTCGAACGATCGTGGGTAATTACGATCAAAAGTTGATGACGATGTCGTCGGTGTTCCTGGTAATGGTGGGGATGATGATGGTGATGATGGCGGTGATGGTGATGGTGACAGTATAATGACGAGCAATTTCTGTCATGCCCTTCACAATGGTGGTGTTTTAGAAAACCAGCACTGAAGATGGTTTGCTTCAATGATGGAAGTTCCAGAGCATTAGGGCTGTAGCCGAGTTTACGTTCTTCCCACATGATGGTAGTAGGGGCTTTGGGTCGTGCATCTCCGCGGTCTGTGGTCTATGAGAGCGCCCTGATGGGTAGTTCCGAAGTGGGGGTGGAGGGTGGATCAGGAGCTGTGGATCGTTTCAAGCTCGACGCTCCAGAAGTACATATAAGGTGTTCGTTTTTGTAAAAGGTCGTTTCCTTCCCGCCTGATGGGTTTCCAACAAAGTCCGAATGGGCAGCAAAGCATTTCAGTGGAGAGTTCTTGACGGAAGCTGAAAGGCATGGGTAAATTACAGTCTATTCGTATGCGTGGCACTAAGGCATCTTGTTTCCTAGTTTGGCTGCCTAGATCTATTTCAAGCTCGCATTTGTCAGGGATCCGTCGCGATTAGCGAAAGACCACTTCGCTTGCCCGGCCCTTGGTGATGCTTGTGAAAGGCCAGCGTCCAGCTGCTTGTTGTCTTAGATGCTAGAAGCGCTCGCCTGCAAAAGAGACGGCCACCTCATCCACAACCCTGCCCGCACTAGGACAAGTCCCGATCTGGTATGTTTGACCCGGAGCGACGCACATGTCAAACGCGAGAGACCCTGCCCCGCCTTACTTCAGAGGCGTGGCTTCTGACATGATGCTCGTTGAGGTGTCGCGGAAAGACAGAGTCGGGGTGTTTGGGATTTGCCGATGGCCTTACTTCTCTCAGTGCCACCCACCTACAGCACTTGCACATGCATGACTGGTGTCAGCAACATCCCCATCGAACCCGACCTCGTGACCCACAGTTCCGATTGCAATTGCAAAGCAACTGCCAACGCACGAGAACGCCCTGACATCTCAAACGTTCTTAAATCAGGACCTCCTAGCATCCAGACGGACCGTTTGATCAGAGCCTACCTCTTTAGAAACTGTAGCTGTGTACTAGTTCTGTGACGACGCCGACAACGGCGATTTGTCTTGCCATACTGCGGTTGATGATGTGTTGCTGATGACGATGATGTTGACGACGACGCTGATGGGGTCCCTGCTGTGACGTAGTAACTGCAACGATGCCTTTTGAAAACAGCCTTGCATCTAGCTGTGGTGCAGTCGGGAACGGCAGCGCGGGTGAACAACGCCACGGTCCTGATGCCAGAGGAGATGGTCTTCGTGCGGATCCCTACTGGCCTGAAGAATTGTGCAGTTGATGTGCATGTGCAGGGTCTCGTAGTCGTCTAGGTTTATGTCTTCCGAATGTTCACTGCCTGGGTGCTTGACACATGATTGCGTCGGCATCTCATAAGTTGCGAGGATACATCGCGAGAGGTTACTCCGAGGTCTTCGCAGCCTGTAGCTGTAGCTGCTTTAGCTCTTGTGGGAAGAGATGTCCGAACGAGTGCACGGGTGGTGGTGGTCGATGGGTCAGATGCAAGTTTCAGGGGTTGAATCTGGATGTCTCAAGGCCCGCAGCAATCTAAGTCACATCTTGATCGAGAATCGCTGCTGTCCAGCTTCGAGTTCTCCCACACGGAGTTTGGCACTGAAGCCGTGCGGTTGTTGGTTCACTCGAGCTCAGATCCTGATGCTGATGGCTTCTGATTAAAGGCTAGTATACGATACGAGACTAGACGAGAAAGACTATACTATACTTACTATACCATACTATACTATACTCTACTATACTATACTATACTATACTATACTATACTATACTGTACTATGAAATATGATACATCTGTCAAGCCCAGGCCCTAACGACCATTTGCCCGTCCGGCATGGAGCTTGCGCCGGTGTCTCAGTTTGAAGCACAGCCGTCAAATGGTGACAATGTTGTAGCTTGATGCCTGTGTGGTGGTACCAGTCTCGAAGAGGTATGTGGACCGTCCCCAAAGACTCCAATATCCCTTAAATAAGGAATATTCCTTAAATTATAGTAGGATCCCTAATATCATCAACGGTATATTCCTTAATTAAGGGATATTGGAGTCTCTGGGTCCACGATGGGAAGAGGGATACATGTCTTTAGGGCGACGCGAACCGGAGCAGCTGGCGAAGGCGATCTGGGTAGTTCTCTACACTCGGGTCCCTTTTCCAGGAGCCCAAAAGCAGGTGGCAGCGGCATGAAAATGACCCGAAAATGGAATTTAGAGAAGTGTCCATATGGAAGGGTAAGGTGCGGCTACGCAGAGTAGCTCGTGGACTACCAGCGGCTGGAATGACATGGGCTGCGTGCTGCAATTATGTTTGCTTGTCTGTTTGCTCTTGGCATTGTCACATTATTAGTGTTTTTTGTTGGTAATTACTGTTGTGATATGCAAAGATGACATATTTCATGACGGATTGGCCGCGAAACGAGTTGGTTTCATGCATGATGTACACGCTTTAATGATGATGACTGCTTTATCTTTGTATGCCGCGACAATGTGCCGCGTGCATACTGTTTAGGGTCTGCCGCGACATTCGTAGTTAGTAAGTGTTTTCCGGCCGCAGCGTGCCACGATTGCGCGAAAGCTGTTTCTAGGTTCGACATGCTGCGATGCGCATGACCGTTAGTACGGTTTTGAGGATGAAGATATAGGCATTACAGTGGTCAGTCATGTGGTGGTGATATGTGGTGATGGTGGTGGTGGTGGTGGTGCTCTATTAAGTTACTAGATCAAAACAGACCATGATCGCCCATTTTTGATGAAAATAAGAGTGCACTAGTCCAACATCTCGCTTGGAGCTCAGCCTCCTGCAACACCAAGCTGCAACAAGGCTGGGATTCAGCCAGGGCCCGGGTGGCAGCGCCGACAGCAGGGAGCCTCAAGACACTGCTTCAAAGGGCTTGTGAATTTTAGGTTTAGGTTCCGCATTCTCTGGGCAAGGTACAGAGGCTTCGTGCGTTGGGTAAGTCCATGCATTCGCCGGCCTGTTAGGTATGCTGCTCGGTTCGTGTGCTTCCTGGATTGTACGGAAACTGAGCGCTTCGATATGAACTATCAATGTTTCTCTTGAATCCTAAATGCAACCCCAACAGTGAAAGTATTCCAGATCAATCTGTCACGTCCCTTTCCGGCCTTGTGAAAGAGAAACAGATCGAGGGCCGAAGCCTAAATTGCATCCTTTCTTGGAGCCCCTTTGAGGTGTAGGTTTCCGGATAGTAGGGCTGGGTTGAATCTTCGGAAACGAGTGCTGACCTGACTTTGAGGAGTCGCATGGTCGTAGGGTTTAGGTTTTTGGGATTCTGGGAGCTAGGATTAGGGGGA